TCCTGGAAATTGCAAAGTTCAGAGACATACAGGTTAAACATATCTTATTCAGATATTTCATACTGAAAATTTCTACTTTGCTGCTGTTATAAATCCTACCATCCCTTTTTTTAGGAGGTAAAGATGGCCTCCGCCCCCTTTCTTCTTGTCCGTATCCTCAGTCTTCGGATCAAGACTTTTAGCAGGCCTGAGCTATTTGAAGCAAACCTAAAGACGGAGACCGGACTATGGAACCTCATCATCAAAGAGATGTGGGCTGGGCGCAAGATGGGCGACCAAGATAAGGTACAACACAACAAACGATAAAACCCTAAACGTGGCCTCCTGTTTTCAGAAATTATGTGTCTACCTTCTACTTTATTGACGTCTTTGTTGTCTTTTCTCAGGACCCGCAGTGCATGACTCAAGCTCTGACTAATGTCTTGTTGATGGATGCCGTCTTTGGCTGCCTGAACCCTCACAGATCCATCTCTGCAGCTTCGAAGCTGGTTTACTTTGATAAAGTCTTACATGAAGGTTAGGTTCCCTTACCTGGTTTCTCTACTTTCGGATGCAGTGACTTTGTTTAAAGACTTTTTTTTTTTTTTTTACAACTGTCACATGGTAGATGTTTGCTCTAAACAATTGGATGACCTTTTTGACAAGTTTTTGTCAGTTGTGTATTACTGTTTTATGTTACTGTACGTTTATTGTAAATTAATGTATGCATTTTTTTTGTGTGTCTTTGACCAGTTGATATGATGGTTCCTAATACTACCTCAGAGACTCTAAAGCATAAAATCAACCCATCTCTGGACTTGGCAGAGCCTCAGACTGTATGTGTGCTGCTGTACACGCCAGGTATCTGATTGTTTGACTTTAAGAAATGTGCAACTATTTTTCTGAGATTTGCAACTTTATTTCCTCATGTGTCGGGCAATGCGTGTGCATTTTCCTCTACACATGTTTTTGACATGTTGACACTGAGTTCTTCGAGTGAACAAAGCTGGTCTGTACTGGAACATTATATCTCAGATGTCCTGCAAGAGAAAAATGGAAATTCCCTTAAGTCACTTTTCCCCAACCCTGATCCTCAAGTAAGAGGTTTCTACTGTCAGTCCTCGAGGGCCAGGATGCTGCATGTTTTATTTCCCTCCCTGGTTCAACACACCTGAATTAATTAATGGCTCGTCAGCCGGCCTCTGCAGAGCTTTGACGTGCCGAGGAGGTAGCGACTACCAGGGTGTTGAACCAGGGAGAGAACTAAAACATGCAGAATACCAGCCCTCGAGGACTGGCTTTCAACAACCGTNCGTGTTTTAGGTGTTGCCATTGGTACATATAGAGTGTTTGACTATTTTCAGTTTCTAGATTCTTTCTCAGTCACTTAAAAAACTGGCGTAAACTAATATAATGCGAGACGACATAAAAAGGCGCATGACTAACATGTATTTTTCTTCAACAATCTGATGTGCTGTTCTATTTTAGAATCCGCAACTGGTTTTCACTTCCAATTTAAATGTCTTTTTGTTACAATTTCAGGTCAGTTGCGGGACAAAAAATCCCCAATAGTGATGAACCCCAAGCTGTGGGTGGCACTGAGTGGCGGCAGAGTGGTCGTATTTGATGCAGCTAGCTGGTCGATGCTGCAGGATTGCATTCAGACGGGAGAGTTACAAGTGGTGAGAGCAGCCTGATGCCATACAGACACGTGATTAAAGGTCTTAAAAATAATTCAAAGTAATGCGAAAGCTTATTAAGGATATAATCCTGTGGGTGAGAATTTTAGTATTGCTTGAAACACAGCTTGTGTAAAAGAAAAGAAAAATGTTATCATCTTTGTTGCTTTGTTAATGTACTAAGAACAACATGTTTTAGGTTTATTTGCTAAGTTGCTTTTTCTGGGGAAAAATTAATAAACTTAGAAACTGAGTACGGAAATTAGAGTTAAGTCGACGTTTGTTTAGTTTTTTTTTTTTTAAGTTTTTTTTTTATTATTATTATTGTAACAACCCACAACAACCTGGCCTCTCCTTTTATTGACATCCTACAAGACGAACACTTCATGACCAAGTGTTTGTTAGCAGAGTTGTCTGCACCATCACACAACCTTCACCAAAGGCTGTTTGGTATTTACAGACAGGATTTGGCAAGACTTCTGTGGGTGGAATCTATGTATTCAACTTTGCCACTCTATACCCACAAATGCCCTTCTTTTTGCAAATGTGACACCTTTTTAGAGAAATAAACCACATTTCTTATATATTGGCTATATGTGTTATTGCCAAGCATTTCTTCAGAGAAAGCCTGTCTCTCACACACATTTCCATTGTTTTTCGAAAATGTGCTGAAGTTATTTCCAGTTTTTTGTACTTTGAATGTAGTTCTTAGAAGTTATTAAATTATTTTTTATTTCGTATGTTTGAGTAACTGTCCTAAGCATTCATCGGCTTATGCCTCACATTACTAGTGTAATAGTACTTAATAGATAAATAGTAACATTGTACACAAAGAAGGCATTTCTTGTGTTTTTTTTTGTTTTTTCTTTTACTCTGGTAACATGTTTCTGAGGATGGTGAAACTAAATTTTCACGTAATTTTATTCTCCTTGCAGACATGCATGATGGGGCTGGTCCATGATCAGGTCTGGATGGGTTCTCAGGACTCTGTTATTTACATCATCGACACCCACAGCATGTCCTGCAACAAACAGCTGACTGAACACCGACATGAAGTGACTGGCCTCTCTGTTGACACCACAGATCATAGCAATGGGTGAAGATGTTATTATTCTCAGAGAATAATTTTTTCCTCAAATAGCAGCCTCTTCAAGTTGAATGTGGGTTTGTAACTAGCACCTTTTCATCTTTCTATTTTTCAATTTTCTAGGCAACTTGCTTACTCCTGCAGCTGCGACGGGACAATCCTGCAATGGGACTCGGCCACCCTGAAGGTGAAGCGCCAGTTCCACCTCAGCTGTGACCGCCTCTGCTCCATACGATCCTATGACGGCATCCTTTGGTGCTGTGAGTACACACTGTTGGTTCAGTCGGACATTTCAATCTGATTTGGTGCGTGTTTGTCATTGTACCTTCTCTCTTCAGTTCAACTGATGTCGACCTATTTTTCAAAGAAATATGCTCACATTTCAACAAAATGTGCAAAGCTGGTATATCCTACAGACTTTCAGATGCAAGTGCAATGAAAAGTCGCTCTACAGACTATTAATGCAGAGAGCGAATATCAATTCGTCCCACACTAAACGTATTCAAATGCAAGAATCGTTGAAATCTACGGGTCACTTTTATCTTTTTCTCTGTGCAGTTATGTGCTGCTCTGTGTTGCTCTGTTGCATAAAATTCTAATAAACTTAAATGAGATGTCGATAACTCTTCATCCATCTTTACGGTTTTCATCTTACCTGCTCATCATGACTCATCAACAAGCAGACACTTTAAGTATTTTCTTTTTAACCTGAGTGTTTTTGCATGTGCAGGTTGTGGTGACAGCATTGTGGAACTAAAAAAGTGTGGCGCTCCACAGAGGAGGATAGTGCTTCCTGATGACTTACGGAGCATGCCCAGTTGCTTCAGCTGCTTTATTGTTGTTCCAGAGGTGACTTGAAAACTTTAACACTGCAGTCTCTTTCACAAGTTTATATTACATATTATCAGGTGGCATTGAGTAACACTGGACCTTCAGAATAATTTGCTGCTCAAACTTCTAAACCAGAAATTTTAAAATGTTTTCCAAATCGTAATGAAAACCAGCAAATCTAACTAAAAGGTTGGTGTGTTGCAGCGCGGACAAGTTTGGACAGGCTGCTCTGACTCGGTGGAGTTGTGTCTCTGGCAGACTGACGACCTCAACCAATCACCCAAAAGAATTTCTCTGCCAGGCACGTCAGGAGTCACGTGTATGATTCGAGTCAAAAACCAGGTGAGCTCTGAATACATGCCTGTTTACATGGCTTATTGGCTTATCTAATTAATATTTATTCGCCAAATTCTAACTCCTTTAGCGTTAATATATAATGGTAATAATCAGAAAATCTATTTTATTTTTGATTTGTTCAGTCAAACTAAATGGGAAAACTAATCTGCCATGTAATCATGACTTAAATTGACCCAGAGCCTGAAATTGTTCCAGAGTGGCTCTAGGTGGGTATTGCTTTGTGGCACTTATCGGTGTGGACTTATTTAATGCTCCGCTTCATTTCTTCTTCCCAGATCTGGGTTGGCTGCAGAGGATGGAGCAGAATCGGAGGTCTTTGTGACGGTCAGCTGAAAAGCCTGGTGTTGGTGTTAGACTTAGACAGTCTGACGGTGACAAAAGAGCTTCTGGCCCATTCGGACAGTATCCAGACTCTCTGTTCTGCTGAGGACCGTTATGTGCTGAGTGGCTCTGCACGTCGGGATGGCAAGATTGCCATCTGGCAGGTTGCATAAAAAACATTTCAAGATAACAAAACAAATTTCAATATGCAGAAATGTATTTAGGTGCAAAGATATGTTTTTATATTTTATTTCTTGGATTCTATTAGTTTATAACAGTAACTTTACTTTTTTTTTTAAGGACAAATGTTTTGATTTCTTCTTAATGAAATAATTTTAATTTGCTAATGACACACAACATTTAAGTAAGATGATAATATCTGTACCTCATGTTTTTATGTTTTAGTAGAGTACTGAAAGGTGATGTTTGTTTCTATGTAAAAAAAATTCTAATAAATATTCTTTATTTTACTGTGATGTTTGTATAGGAATATAAATTACATATTGTTTCCGTTTCTTTGCAATGCCGTATTTTATAGTTTTGAATGTATAAAAAATATTAACCAATCGTAGCCTCATCCGCTGGTCACGTGACAACGTCTCTTTGACGTCAATTCCCTGCGACGCCTATTGCTTACCAGACATTTCCTCATGCGGGTGGTTTTCTCCCAAAAATATACATTATTTTAGGTAAGTCATCAGTGGGTATGTAGTTATAGCATTCTTTAGATGCGGCCTATGTTCAGGTTCTATCATTTTAATCTGCTGGATGAGGAAAAAGGACTGGCGGTGTTTTAGTGCGTCTCCTCATTTCCACACAAGGTCAGGTTCTGATGTTACATGATAGGACCATGTTCAGTGTTGGCTTTGGAAAAAATAAAAAATAATTGGAAGAAACATTTTCGGATACAGTCACAGTGACTCTGATGCAGAACTTGATATAGTTTTTTTCCACTGTGCGAGTCTCCGGTAAGTAAATGCAGGTCGTACAACCCCCCATTTCCTCCTAGCAAGATCTTCATGTTTCCGAAACTTTAGTCGAGCTGGTGGGGATGTGTGACAGAGTTTTTGTGTTTGACAGAGTTTTATTCATTGTCAGAATTGCAAACTCATAACCGCAAAAAATTCCGTAGTTAATCAGTGGCACACTTATGAATTTGAGGGGCTATTTCTGTACTTATTTTCGATGTGTTTAGAGAAAAAACGACTTTAGAAAGGTTAATTTTATTACCCGTTCAGAAAGCTCTGCAGTTGCTACAATAATTACATCCCGTTACCGACATGGAGTTTCATACATTTTTTTTTTGTATATATATGTATATTTATATATACATATATGTATAGTAATCGGGTAACCTGCCTCAACAGAACACTGCAGAACACCAAATTTATGCTCTTTGAATTGCCTTGTTGCTGAAAATGTGCTATATAAATAAAATTACTGCTCTGCTTCTCACAGATCATTAGTGGGATGTGTGTTTTTGGATTGTGAGGAGATTTCCTCTCCAGTCTCACCGCTCTGAACGAATGGCCAACCGCCTGCTGGGCAGATGTGCCCACTTAATCTGCAAGTCTTCCTCTCAGGCTGCAGCCACTGGCACTGCTGTCCGCTTTCAGCCACCCTTAGGTGGACCTGTAGAGGTACCGAGGGTTAGAAACTGGTTATGGGTCACTGAGAGATTGTTCTGCGAGTGGACGGCGACCAAAGATGAGCCACATCACAATGTTCTGGTGCGAACTCATCTGTATGAGATGATAGAGAAAGTGTCGGCTCCAGACGAGGTTTTGTCTGCTTGGGAACAGTACGGAGGGAGTGGTAATCAGGCGGCTGCCTCCCTGGTGAAGTGGACTCAGCTGATGCTAAAGACAAAGGAGAAGTTTACAGGAGACCAAGATGAAGTGCTGACAGATTCAAGGCTGGTTGAAATGATGAGTACTCTATCAAAAGATGTAAGGGTTCCCCTATTGCTTACTTCTCATTTAATTAGGTATTTGTGCCTGTTTTATGTCAATATGTTATTTTTTTCCCCCCCCAGGTGTCATCAGTGTGGAATGGCAATCTGGTGAGTGTTTTGCGGTCCCTCTGGATCATGAAGATCCCCACTTCCCATCCAGTGCTGGGTTCTGTCCAAACAGAGGTCCGGTGGAGAGTCCGAAGGCTCTCCTACAAGCAACTGGGCTTCCTGATAGACTGGGGAGTGGCGAGGAAAGCCCCACAAGATGTAGCGATCGTGAACGCTGCCTTGAAACAGCTGGAGCTGCGCTGGACGGAAATCGCCGATACCAAAACCGTCAGCGCTTTGATCTCCAAAGGAGAGCACATGGCGCCTGCTTTGGTGGACAGACTTGAAGATAAGGTATCAGCTATTTTATTTACGTGTAGAGATACTTGATAAGTGCATGCCGGTTAACTCAAATATAATTGAAAAGTACATTCTGGTAATTCAATTAAAGAAGTAAAACTGATATATCTTTCTCAGAGAATTGGAACATTTAATACAAAAAAAAAGGCAATATGGTATTTGCATGAGGAAATGAGGAAAACCGCACACTTGACAATAGTTCAGCGTGCTTTTGTTGGTAAACCTCCCCCCCATTCTGAACTCAAATACGTTAATAGAAAGTTGAGTGGAAGAAAAAGTAGCTGATAAAGGTTCGGTGGCAATTGATAAATATAATGTTATTATTATTTATTAAGATGCTGCTGTTATTGAGAACCACTGGTACCACTGAATGTTGTTGCTAAAGATTCCCACTTATAAAGCATTATAAGGACCTCTTAAAAAAATAAAAATAAAAAAAATAAATAAATTAAATCTTTTGCAGGCATTAGAGCTCTCAGAGGGCTTTTCAGCTGAAGATATCAGGAAAGTCTGTGTAGCACTGGCAGCTCAGAACCGCAGAAGCATCCCATTACTCAGGGCCGTGTCCTACCACCTCCTCCAGAAACCCTCATCCGAGTTCACCACTCCATTAATAATGGATCTGGCCTTCGCATACGGTAATATCCCTGACAGTAAAATGATCTGAAGCTGCTTCTATTGGTTATAAAAAGACTAATTAAGTTGTAAAGTTCAATGTCGATGTAAAGTTGGAGGAGAATAAATATGGCAATGACTCATATTTTTCATTCTTTCTAGGAAAGCTGAATTTCAACCAATCTCAGGTTTTTCAGCGAATGGCCAGCGAGTTGCTACCCAGAGTTCCTGAGCTCAGCTCCACTGACGTCACGCGCTGTGCCAAGTCTCTGGGCTTCCTCAAATGGCTCCACATTCCTCTCTTTGAAGCCTTTGCTGAGGTCAGTTGTCTCTTATCCAGGGCTTCATCAATGACCTCAGATTAATTGGTTTGTTTTTGTTTCTTCTCCTCACTGACTGTCATGTTTTTTTGTTTTGTTTCCCCCAGCACTACACAGCGAAGAGTGAAAAGTACAGCACTTTCCAGCTCTGCAATCTGCTCATGACTTTTGCCAGGCTTGGCTTCCAGCCCACCAAAGGAGAGGAGTTTTACAGAAAGGTATTAACGAGTTGAAGTTGCTGCAGATCTGCTGCCTGCGCCCGGTCGGTTCAACTTCTGCGTGTTCTCTGCTTCTCGACAGGTTCATGTTGTGTTGAAGGAGTCTCTCGCGAGTCTGGAGCCTTTCCTGCAGACGGATGTGGTGTGGTCCCTGTGTGTCTTACAGCAGGCCAAGCCCGACTACCTCATCCCTATGACTCAGACAAGTCATGTTACCAACCTGCAAGGTAAACTGCTTACCTGGGTGGTGGATTATCAACACCTTTAAGGGGATTGAAAATGCTGCAACAGTGGAGTTAAAAGTCAGCATCCAATTTTCCTGCATGCATTTTCAGTCGTCCTGTAGGATTGAAGGTTTGAAAATAAATTTGAGTACGTTAATTCTGAAAAGAAGTTATATCAGTTTTCTATTCTATCCTATTTGTTCTCTGTCTGCGCAAAGGCATATTTGCATTCTTGTGCATTTGCATTTAGGGATAATAACCTCCTACATATTTGATGGGTTGTTCAGCTTATTGTAAAGTAAGTTTTTTTTTTTTTTTT